TATATATAATTAAATTAAATAAGAGGTTTTATAATATGGTCCTTAGAAGTTCAGAATAGACAAGTACATATCTTAAAGATTTTTCATAGAATATCGCTGAATTTTTGTTTTTTTATGAATTTTAGATTTTTTATATAATGTCGATGATTGTATATTAGTCGAAATTTCATTTTAAAGTATAATAATGATTAATTATAGTCAAAATACAACTTACTTCAGATAACTTTCCATATACCTCAAATAGCGTTTTTCGCCGTTTTGCTAGAAGATAGAGCAATATAGACTAAATCCATGCCGTCGAGTTTAGATATTTTAAAAGTCATTAATAGTCATTCGACTTTTGTCTAATACTGATACTATCAGACTACTATTAGAATACTGATACTGTAGAAAGTCCTAATCACACCGGTGAACTTGAAAGACCCTATTAAGGATTCTCTAAATTACCATATATAAAAGAACAAAGAATCATTTCATAATACTGTCTTTGACAATCAAAAATATTTGTTATACTAGTTTTCATATATATCATTTATGGTATGATGTTATTTAAATATATAAATAAATATTTATTATATTTAATATAACTGTTTCAAGGATCATAGAATAGAATATCTTTTACATATGGGTCAAGGTTTAAAGTCAAAGTAGGGTTTCAATACTGATTTTGGGTAAAAATTGGAAAAAAAATTTAAATTGCTTCTTGATCTGAGTAGGCTATCCGAATTGACTAATGATATGTAGTTTATTAGTTATATAAAATATTTTACAAAATTTCAGAAAATTAGGTCAAAATCTGACAAATAATAATCCAGATATTGATTTAACAAGTTATCTTCTATTTTGAGAATTGCAGCCAACTAGAGATAAAGATATTCAATTATCATTGGATAATTAAATACCAGGTAAATGTAAAAATAAATGGATATTGATGGAAGTTGATCTATAGGAAGTAAGTAAGAAGTGCACCAGCAAATTATAGAAACATACGATTTTTAAGGCATATAAACATACGATTCACACCTTCATAGCATATAAATCGTAACGTTCTGGGGAGAATGACTGAAGCATATGTGTAGTGCACTTAGCTTAATCAAACTTCTGGGACTATCGTGATAATTATATATTTTATTTACCTGATCTACTTCATTGCACAAAAATAGAACCACACTGAATCAGGTCACATATTAGTATTATTCACCATAAGAATTTTATATATAAGCACTGCTCTTTAAATATAAATTATTTATTCCAGAATCAGCATTGTAGCTATCAACATTAGCAGTCCTCTAGAGTACAAAGAATATTATACATAAAAGTATGCCTAAAGTTCGTAGAAGCCGTAAACCACCCCCAGATGGTTGGGAACTCATTGAACCAACACTAGAGGAACTCGAACAGAAAATGCGTAGAGCAGAATTCGAACCACATGAAGGAAAGCGTATTACCGAGTCTTTATGGCCAATTTTTAAGATCCATCATCAGAAGTCACGCTACATTTACGATTTGTTCTTCCGTCGTAAAGCCATCAGTCGTGAATTGTACGAATATTGTCTTAAGGAAAAAATTGCTGATCCCAATCTTATTGCCAAATGGAAGAAATCTGGGTATGAGAAATTGTGTTGCTTGCGGTGCATACAAACCCGTGATACAAACTTCGGCACAAATTGCATTTGTCGGGTACCAAAATCCAAACTGGAAGAGGGTCGTATTGTTGAGTGCGTCCATTGTGGGTGCCGCGGCTGCTCTGGTTAGTGAATGGACATTTGTAATTTAAACCCATGACAATATATAATATATTATTTTTATTATAAATAAAGATACAAATAAAAAAAATTTGTAACTTGAACATTAGTAAATTTAGTTTTGATTTGGAGAGAGAACATTTCAAATAAAATTTTTACGGTTCTTTTTAAAGAACCGCCTAATTTTCCAAAGTATTATATTCTCTCTTAAACCATGTTTTTAAGTTATAACCAGTTTTTGTAACGTTTAATAGACACTATTCGGTATTTTTTAAGTTTATAATTGATAGCAAGTGGAATTTCACTCGAAACGTTGCGGATTTGGGTTCTCTTAGATACTGGATCGGATTTGTGAGGGAGTGTCGTAGTGGTTGTAACTTAAAGTTAAGCAGGAAGATTGTTAGCATTTGTGCTGTCCTTTAATGTGGGGTTCTTTTTTTTATCCGGGAGCTGTGACCCAATTCAGAGACTCAGATAGGTCCTCTATGAGCAGTAAATTATATTGAAACACATAATTCCCATATATACTTTCCATATAATTTCAATTAATGTGGGAGGAACTCTTTTGAATAGAGAGTTTCAAGCAAGTGGAAGGCCAATTAAAGTTGATGAAAACGTAATAAAGAGATTTATTAAAGCAAGCCTTCAGATAACAACCGATGAGATCACTGAGATATTCAATGAACTGAAAGGCCAGTTAAAGCTGATGTATACGCAATAATGACATAAATTGATACAAACCGGGAGACAACCCATGAGATCCATGAGACATTAAATTTATTGAATTCGATCGTTTTTGATAATTTAAAACACCTAGTTTTAATCTCAAAGTTCAATATATGAGTTCCTCATGATCCATTATATAAACGGCAAGAGAAATGGAGTACAATACTTCAAAAGTCGATATTCATTGCAAACAGGTGACGTTATCTGTTTGGTGGAATTTCAAGGGAATAGTCTTATTTTGAACTTATACCTAATAGCGCGATGAACAATTCTGATTTAAACTATCATCAACTTAAACTCAATATACCTAAACTGATCAATAGGAAAGGTGTAGCATTCCACTAAGATAATGCTTTTATTAAGGCTCAGAATAACAGAACCTTAAAATAATTAGAATAAATTTTATATTTCATATCATATCCTTACCATACTTAAATAAAGGAGTTATGAAATTGAGGCATAGTTTCCAGATGTCCTAAAATCTGTCTTTCACTGTTTTTTTCGTTTATAATGCCATAAACAAGTAAAACGTTAAGATATGTGTTAAGATATATGTGTATTGTATTGTGACTTGTATTGAACGCGAATTTTTACTTAGGAACCATAAATGTTAGCTAATCCACCCAGCCAGAAATAAACATGAAAAATATTTCACTTATTCGTTGACATAATTTAAATTTAAAGGCGCCAACAGAATTTGCCTGCATCCGCGTTTGCTTCCTTTCAGGTCAACTAACAACCAAACACCAACGGCATTGAAGGAATCAAAGGACGAAATAAAGCTCATGCGTAAAATGGGTGACAGTCGGGAGCCGTGAATTGTAGGAGTGTAAATTGAGTGGTGGGAGTGAATATAAATCTGGTTATAAATGGATTTTTAATTACGTTTATTGTAGCATATTTTAAGGCGTCCAAACTGAAAATCCGAAAATAGAAATTTTACTCAATTGAATTCTTGAAGATTTCAATATTTGAATATTTAAATAAGAAGTAAATTAAAATTAATCGTTATTGAATTAAAATAACATTTATTTGTTTTTTATAAATATTTTAAATCCATTATTATTATGTTGAAGCTGCTTTGAGCTAGTCCACTTAAGCACTTACTCTCTTTTTTAACTCGAGGTATTTTTAAAACTCCTCTTTACATCTTGACTAGATTATTGTTCATCAGTTCATCAGACCAAGCAATAATTGACCTCAGATCTGCATACCATTAATTTCTGAATATTTATAACATACAATGTTACATTTTTTTAATCTTCTCTTATTTTTTAAGTGACAGTAAGACTTTAGATTTGAGAGGAAAACTAGAGTAGAAACGAAAACTAAGCAAGAAACTTTTTAAAAACAAAAACTTTTGATATCATTTTTTTGAAACTTTTTCAGGGTTAAGACCTGAAAGGAATGATTTTTACCGAAAATATACATCACTTTGACTACGACAGTCTATTGTACTATGAATTTTATTCTGATATTCCAAAATAATTTTTGCCACTTTTTTAAGCGAAGCGGATAACGTTTGGAAGAAGTAAAGAGCTTACAATGTCAGTATCAGGAACTTTAAATTTAAGCCTTAAGAGGGAGAGGCGAAAGTATTGAAAGTCTTCTCAAGTCCATAGTGCCGACATTTTCAAAAAAGGTGAGTATGTATAAGTATTTTTCAGCAAGTTCAAGGCGAAAGCAGTATTTGGCATGAGTAGTTTGACAAGTGATGATAACTCCAATTAAAATGGTTACACAAATTTTTGGTAGTTTTTGAGAATACGGAGAAAGGGATAAGGAGTTGACATGTTGCTTATCTCTTTACACTCGAAATATTTAAATCTTACTCTAGAGGGGTGGAATAAAAGCAAAGGAAATATTCCACGGTATCGATGACTTTAAAATAAAGTGGACAGAAGCAAGTCCAAGGCGAAAAAGATGTATGAAGTAGTTGTGCCTTCTAATAATGTTGAATCTACATTTTCATCGCATCTTCATTCAGAAATAATTTGAATAAAATGGATTTGTTTGGTTAAAAGAATCGTTGATTTAAAAAAATATTCTTTTTATTATTCTTTTTATTATGTTTATAGTTCGCATATAATTTGTTTGGACTGTAAGTCCACTTGCCGTGATTTGGTTAGCGTCATTAATTAAATACAAAAAAGTGTCAAAAAAACCTGGAACTGGAAGCATTGAAAATTAGTGCAGCCTTGTCTACTTGTGGATAAACACGATTAGTCAGCGCTTCTAATTCGATAGGCACGAGTTCTAAGCCTAGTACGGACTATAAACAATTAAGATTCGATTATTTCCTAAGATCATTGATGATGAGTACTTGGCAATATTCAAAACAGCGTTGTATGGTCAGCCAAATTTCAATAAACTAACTAAATTTTTGTTCTTGTCTAACTTTAAATAGATTTTTTTTCATCATAAAGACGAGCCATTATCGACAAGACGAAACTTAACAATAATAAAATTAATTAACTTCATAGCTCCAATTTAATTAAATATATTTTAATATTCAATATATTTCATTCGAGGATATGCAACTTGTACATATTCCACCATTAATTCTAACTTTTAAAATAAAATGGAAATTATTTACCGAACCAGGTTAGGCATGAACACATATCAGAAAAAGTATAATTGGAAAAATATTGCTGTGAAAATGTTTTGTAACTGGACTTGTCCAGTGTCCTTTAGTTCCGCTTTGCTGACTTTAATTGAATTATTTTGAACGAATTCGAGACCATAATTGCTAGGATCGCAATATTTTGTCTGTGACGTAAAGCCCAGAAGGTCCTTTTATTTTATGCCGGATGTCCAGTTACCTGTGACTTCAACTAAAGTTAAATAAAATTAAAACAATGACTGAAAATTGTTTATGTTGATATATTAAATTTTTATTATTTTAAATTTTATATTTTGTATGGAAGCATTGGGAGCATTGGGAGTATTAATGAAAGTGAAAATGTAGAATTTATATACATTTATGACCCAAAACCATTTTATTGAAAATCAATTATTATTATGAAAATTATGACCTCTTGTCATTTTTTTGACAGTTTCATAAATCAGTTCAAAGTGATTCTTAGTGGCCTTTCTGTCGGCCAATTTCGATTCCAGGGTTTTTCGAAGTAAATGCTAGTTATAAGGTGATAATTTCGAACTATTTGGTGGATGTATTAAAACTTGCCAATCATACATCAAAAATATGTTTGTTCTCGTATTGTTATGATAGAATACAATTTCTTCTTTGTTAGCCAATTCTGGTAACTTTTCATTGACTTTTTCTTTAAAACGGTCGAGTTGTGTGCAGTAGAGGATCGACCTCGAATTAGTCATAGCACCAAGGTGAAATGGTTAGTATTAGATAATTTCCATATAATCCCAACAACAATTAACCTAACATTGCTTGTCATCAATTCAGGTTGAAGTCGTTTGTGGAGGGTCATCAGCCTTTGATATGTCCAGCTTGCGTCGGATATATTTGTATCTGATGACTATTCCTCATCCGAATTGATACCTAAACATGGAGCATCTTTGCGTAATTTGATCTATTTAAATAATTCTAAACTTTAATCTATTTTTCTTCTTCTTGAGTTAGTGCTATTACGCACTTTTACTCTATAATGGTTGGGGGGCTTAACTCTACCCCAAACTAGACTTTAACTAGGCTTAAAAAAATCATATAATTTATTTGTCTTTTAGTTGATGACGGACCTCATATCTTCCTGAGAGTCTAGAAGTGGACTTGAGGATTGTTAGGGCGGGGTTAAGTAGCGTATCAACTTTAGTGAATAATTTTAGAGCTCTGTCTCTGATATATTTTTTTCACTGAGTCAATCCTAAGATCTCTATGTATGTCTGTTGATCTAATATACCAAGGAAACTTAGTCTTCTTAAAGCCAGGTTTTGTGCTATCTGTAATTGCTTTATGGTAGTATTTGGGGCTTTGCTATATGTAACACATCCGTAAGTAACAGTAATACTTATTATCCTTAAAAGAATCTCCTGAAGTGCATTTGAGGTTGTACTTATAAACTATGAATATACTTTTTATACTCATTGGTGAACCTAACGGGAAGAAGAAACATTTAAGCATTTTCTCTATGATTGTCATATTCCTCGAAGTCAAATTTCAGAAGAAATAAATTTTTATAGAACAACTTTTTGAAAGTTTCGTTAGATTGTTAAACGGTTAGGACAAACAATTGGTTAAATTACCTATATTCAACGGAATTTACTAGATATCTCAATCGTTTAGGCGAGTATAGCATCAACTAGTAACATTAATG